GGGGGGGGGGGGGGGGGGGGGGGGGGGGGGGGGGGGGGGGGGGGGGGGGGGGGGGGGGTGGTTGGCCGCCGTTAATAGCCAGTCGAGTGTGAAGCAGAACTTTTCTCCTTGCCTCGTAATAACGCCGCGCACGTATAAGAGGTCTACGAGAGAAAGAAGCAGCCCGGACCAATCACGAAGCCCCTCTAGTCTAGGAAACTGGAGCAGCTCTGGAATTAAGAAGTTTTCATCGCGCCGCTTTTCACGGGGCTGTTCCTCTTCCGCGGAATCTTCCCGTTTCTGTTTGAAAGGAAAAGACCCCGTCTACTGGCCACTCAACGAGTTGAGAAAGGCCTCCACGTCGAAAACTTTATAAATACGTCTCCAAGTTGACGACCGGGGGGTGGGGGGTGGGGGGGGGGGAGGGGTGAACAGCGAAAGGGTGAGTGCAAACGAGTAGTTGGAAGACGACAATGAATCGGTGCAAGTCCGGTTAGGGGTCTCTCGCATGCCCGAATTAATCCTTTTCGAGCGCGGGAGACACTTGGTCGCGCATGAATTATCGATCGTCTGCACCACGGTACATTTACCTTCCGATGATAGTTAATAATCTGATGGGGCCGAAGCTTACAAAGGACCGAATTACTGGCCAGATGGAAAACGGTGCCTCTGCCGTCAGTCGCTCTAACACGACGTTTGCATACAGGGTGTTAATGAATTACGCGGCGTTTGGACCGCGCGGATGAGAGAACTCGTCCGATTTGATGGGGAAACGGGCGGTGTGTTAGGCGGCGCGTTTGTGTAAAAGAACGCGGAGGATCGTTGATTAGGAGTGATTGAAACGGATAATTCTTTGGGGAATTCCGATGTATCTCGACGAGAGCTGCTCCATTGAAATTTTTTTTTCTTTCTTTTTTTTTTTTTTGGCACTTTTGACCCTCTGAGTGTTAATCAGAGTGAGAAAGAAAGAGAAAGGAATTAGTTTCAATTTGTTAGTTGACAAGCAAAATATATTCGTGAAACAGCCACCGGTCGATTCGATCAGGTTTGCAAAATACGCGCGATTGCAATATATTCACTCCACGAGTGATGGGAATATCGAGAATTATCGGAGGTCTTTCTCGCGTGTTTCATTGGAGCGCGTTCGTGTTCCTCTAGCGTGATGCATAATTTAGAGGACGTATCGCCCCGGTTTATTAGAGAGTGCATCTGTCGTTCAAATTTATTATTAGCCGAGTATCGATTGGATTATATAGCCGGGGCTGTTGTTTCGGTTCACGTCGTTACCGCCATGGTGAAAATTAGCGCGCTAGGCGAACGTGACGATAATGAGAATGTTCGCCCCTTTTGTGGGCGAGCCTCTTTCACAACTTAATAAAGCTGTCCGCGTTCCTTTCGCATTGAACGATGCTAAACCGCAAAATGTTAAGCTTGGATTACCGGAGCCGTTTGTTCCTAACGAGACGTGCAAAAGTTTCACCGAGTGATTTATTGTTAATTGTGACAATAATTAGTCTCTTACCATGTCGCAGGAAATCTTGGTAAATATAAAAATTTTGATAGATTATTTTATTTACGTAGAAAAATTGTACAAATGATTCTCGTCCGTAGCAATAGCTGCAGGAACGTTTAGAAATTCATAGACGCTTGATCTTGGAAACGGATATTGCTCTTCCTCTCGCGAAATTCCAAAGGCGAATTGTTGGAAATGGTTTCCTCTCGCTGTACGTTTCACGTCGAGGCGGACTGATAATTTTCTGCATTTGTTTCG